TACGTCCAATGGATGATGATCTGATTAGTCAAATAATCGGTGACTAGTCGACTATCAAAATAATCGTTTGTGTCTTTTAGTCATTTTCTTCTAAATGACCATGAGAGCACAGAGTTTCTTTTGTTAGCAAGGTGACAGTCGAGTTATTGTTTAGATATCAAGCAAACATAAGACAGTTTGTGAGCAAAGTTGTCTGAATTTCATTAGAAACTATGTAATAAGTATCTGGTCTGTCACTTTTATTGGGGTCCAAAGCCTTCCAGTGCTCTAAAAAGTTAACCAGTTTGCAGTTAGTAGCATTAAGCTAAGCTTGACATTATAACATTTTAAACATAAATTACCCTTATAGCATTAAATCAAACACAAGTTTAACTGTTATAATTCAATCTGGACATTGTAAAATATGATTTTGCAAAATTAAAATAATAAAATAAAACTTTGTCTTTTTCTATATCTGACTGAGTGGGTTGTATAATGAAGCAACTTTATTCTGACGTTCTGTTCACAGAGTAACAAAACTTATAATCATGTGCTGTGTAAATATATGAAAATAATAAGCCTGGAGATTAATTTGTGGAAACGAATGCATCTTTTTTATGGCAGACATTTTAAAATGTCACCATAGGAAAAGCAAAAGTATAAGTAAATTAATAAGGATGGAATTCTGTTAGCTGCTTTATTTTCAGGGGTCTGGCTGGCTCACTTCCATAAGCTCTGGAAACTGGAAGTGAACCATCATTAATGTTATTAGGAACACTTGTGCTGTGACTACTACCACAAGTCAAAATATGTGCTGTGGAAAATGACACTTTTACTTATTTTCTTATTTTTGGTAGACTAAGTAATGACCACAGTAGCTGGTTATATATAACACACTGTAGCATTATTCTGAGCACTGGTTACTGGTTATATCTTGCAATATATGGAGCAACATCTACAGCTTGTCAGGTAAACTCTTTTTTCCTATTTAAGTCTTGCTTCCTTCTTTTGCAAAGGTGCTTTGTGCATTCTGTTGCATGTCACACAAAGCAGATGAAGAATGACCTCTGACCCCAGTGGCCTAGATACAAGGCCTTCCTGTCATTCTGATTGGTGGTACCGGCTAACCTTTTCCTTGCCGCAAAAAAAAGTGTGCCATGCTGTTCCCCGTGAGGTCCCATTGTTTCTTTTGTAATATTCAAGGAGAAAAATGGAGAAAAATTAGCACTCATGCAGTATGCATGACTTTAGAAAGCCTCTCATATAATTCTATTGCTGAGGGAAATGGGGAAGTCCAGAAGCAATATAGCTGTGTTTTTAGCAGGTTTAGCATTTCTAGTTTGCTGTGTGTTTCTAGTTGTGGAAGAGCATTGGTGTAATTTTTTTCCATAAGGCGTTGCAGCAAATATCCCCTGTGCATTGCTTATTTTTTGAGGCTATCAGATAATGTAATGTAACAAGATCCCAGTGGCACTTAAAAGAAGTGCTTTTCAGCTTTTTGCTCGCAGGTAACACTCTAGTTTCAGCTTGCTGGGTTCCAGCGCTCAAGTCATCGTGTCCCCAAGAACCAGCTCTGAGTTGGCAGCACTTGACATGATTGCCCTTAAGTAACTGACACGGTTGCGGTGTTACAGTGCACTCTGCAGCTGGGTAAGTGTTTAGTGGCAAGTAAGAACTGTTAAGATCCTGCTGTGTTAAGAGAGGAGATGAAAGTGAACAGGAGCTATACAGGCCCCCTAACGGTTGGCTGGGGAGACTGTTTTCTGTGATGTCTGTGAGCTTTCAAGACAGTGGGAAGGGCATTATAACTCATGCTCCTGTTTAAGAGTCAACAGTTTCCTAGCCTATTCCAGGCTTTAGATAATGACTTTGTGAAATACAATCCTACATCCATATTTATAGAATTAGTATGCTAAATCTGGGGTTTCATTCATAACCCATGTGATAACTGTGCAGCGTAAGGCCTTGTAAATGGATGTCAGTAAACCAAGTGTATGCCTTTTGCACAGAGGCAGCCCTATACATATGGACCCATTGCAGTTTACCCAATGTCAGCACGCCTTAGCTCTTTCCATTCTTCTTTTTGCTCGAAAATGGGTTTCGATACTGAGACAACAAAAACAATTGCTCAATGTAGAACAAATGGCATGAAGATTCTCCTCGCTCTCGCTCTCAGCACCATGGCAACATTCACTTTGATATGCAGAAACCCCCGCCATTTGTACAGTGCAGCACCAAGGGGAATATTGACTTTTTGGTGAGGCAGAGAGTTTTTGCATTAATTGTGTTGTTTTTTTTGTTGTTTTGTTTTGTTTTGGGGAGGGGGGAGGCGGTATTTTCTCCATGTAAATCATAGAATTCATTGTGTGTCTGTTTTTTCACAGATGTGGATGCGAGACATTGTGTTGTACCAGGGACTGCACTGAGGGAGAATCAAGCCTAACTGTTGTCTTCATGTAAAAGTAGACAACCTGCAGACTGGACGTCGCCATCAATCTACTCTTTGTTCCAGTTATCATAATGAGCCTCTCTTGGTAGCCTTCTGCTTGAACCTTGCTTTTTTCTCAGCTAACAGAGCATTCTCATTTTACTTTGACCATACATACCAACCTCTGGGATGGATCGCCTGTGTCCGGGCGAAGGCGTTAGCCGGACACAGGCTTTTGTTGTCAAACTGTAGCCTGGATTCTGGACCAAAGTGGATTGTGCTCAACTTACTTCATGTGATTATTTTCTGGAGTTATTTATTTGGATCAGGGATGGATGTACCAGAAGCCAGCAAGCATGGCAAGAAGTCGACAAGTCAAAAGCTGGAGGACCAGAAAAAGGTAGGTGACAGGTTTCTGTCCTTTTAACTTTGCTCCTGTCTTTTCCGTAGCCTCTCTGTGCATGTGTGCACGCTGCATTTTCAAAGAATCAGCTGCATACAGAAGCCAAGGGATAAAAGTTTGTTTATCACCTGGAATCTTGTTCTCTTTACAAAAAGGAGAACATGTTGGTCCAATTGCTGCTGTTGTGTGAATTCCCAGTAGCTTTTTTGCTCCATATCTGCTAATAGCTATTTATAAAGAAGATGAGGGGAAAGGTGGAGTTTCTTCCCCCTCTTTGCTTTCACTCTTTTATCTCGGCTCATGTGGTGTCACAGTGGGCAGGGTGCATCCCAGCCTCCCTCTGAGAATACATATTTACTTTCTGTTTGAGATGCTTTTTATGTTCCCGTCTCTGGGAATGGGAAAACGAATGATAATTTTAACAAAAAGATAAATACGATTTTCCTTTTTTGTTTTTGTTGTTTTGGTGAAGTTATATCATGTGCTCCAATGGTCTCTACATAATGGTGCGATTAGAAGAAGCTGGTTTTGAGTCGCGCTCTAAATGCTGCACATTGGACCTCAGCTGGATCAGATTCGTCTGTAACAGCGGTGGCTGGATCGATGGCGAGAGCTCAGGCGTCAGGCAAGTTCACGCTGTCTGCAGAACATGGATTCGAGGACAGTGGCACTGGCCTTTGCCTGTCTGATCAATAAAAAACAGTGGCTTGTATTTATTTAGCTGTAAATGCTTCCAGTGAACATTAGATCTCATGATCTAATTCAAGTGCTGCCTTACATTTTTCTGTATAATGTGTCAATGACAAACATATACTAGATGCCATTTTGGCCATACATATAGAAGAAGAGCAAAATATTAAAATAACGCAGCGAGGTCAACTAACCTGAGCCACAGAATTTTCAAATGTTTAATGTCACTGACACGGTGAGACTAACTTTATCTGCTCATCTTGTTAGTTTTGGGCTATATGTAGGCTTTGACATTTGCCTAAGCGCTGTGCACAGCTCATTTTGAAAAGTAACACTGCCATTACATAATCATCTAAATCATCTGGAAGCCAGTGTTGTTTTTGTTAGTAAAATTGCACGTCTTCATTGAAATAGCCTATTAAAAATAAGAATATTCATATAGGAATATGAAGGAGTGACACTGAGTTCAGTGAATTACTGGGCTGATTATGGGACCTCTGTTAGTACAGACCGTAATGTGCAGTGTGAGTCTAGCAAAAATGTATTTCTGGTATGGCTTTACTCGTGTTAACTTTGTACTTGTTTAAAGATCTAGTGAGAATTTTTCTACACTTTTAGAAGATTATTATTTTATAAAATACTTTGTATTTTGTTTCCCCCCCTTTGTCTGGAGAGCTGAGTTTGTGCAGCGTAAGTTCACTTTTATATGGACTTAAAGAGTACACGTACTAAGATGCAAACAAAGCCTGTTAGCGAGAGACTTCTCTTCCTCCCTCTTCCTCTGACCTCATTCTTCTAATGAAGTGCATTTGATAAGTATAATGAATTTCCACGTGAAGTCCAGGGAACATATGAGTTCAAGTTAGACTTTTGCAGCACTGTTAGGGTCTCAATAAAAAGGATGATTGTTCTTTAGAACCTGAGTAGACTTGAGTGCTATAGTAGTTTTTTTCTCTTTAGCAGAATACAATGATGTCTTGCTGTTAGTGCTATTAGCCAATTTTTATACCCTGTTAGAGAAGACAGACAGACTACTAATAATTTATAATAATGGATCAATGTAGCTTTCCACAAGCACATTGATTTTTAAGAGAAAAGTTGTGAGCAAGAACCTGTATTTGTGCACAACATGCCCATGTTGCATATGTCCTGTCATGTGACATGAATTGAAATCGGATGCTGTTCTAATAATGACGATAATGACGATCACTCTGTCTCCACTTCCTTTTGCATTAAAGGTCATGTACTGTATTAAACATTTGTAGTGTCTTTCTATTTTCCAACCTCTGCATTGTAGGTAAAGGGGTTTTAGCATTGAGCTCGGTTTGGAGCAGAGTGAATGAACAGAGCGTGACATCAAATATTCATCTATCAGGGGAATTTGACTGAAAGCGTTTGGCTCTCGTTTCGGTTAGATGTGCGTCCTGCCAAAAGATAAGCTCTCCCTCTTTGTTGTGATTGTTGCCTTGAGCTAGGCAACAAATGGTTTAGAGCAAAAGAGCTTCTTATAAGGTTTTAAATATTCCTAGTATGTTTCTGTGTGCTGTAATTACCTGACTGGATAGGTTTAGTCTCACGTGGATGTGTCATCTGTGGTAGTTGAACTTAGCACAAAATAAATGTTGTACTTAAAGAAATGCTGTGTGAAAAGATGGAGCAAATACATTCAGTTTCCTTATCTTCTATAATGTGACCCGAGTTTTTTTCTTTCACTTTGTGTGGGGAGGAATAAGCTAAACTTGAGGTGCAGAAAAATGTCAGGGACAAATGTTACATTTAATTTAAGCATTGAATTGATTTTCAGTCATTTTCTTTCTTGCTCAGCATTAGATAAGAAAATCAGTACGACTGAGCTCATTAGCTTAGCTAAAGCACTACTGGCATCATGACTTTAGGAAGTCATTGCTTCCAGCCAGCCAGTCTAATGCTTAACCTAACATGACACTACAATTTGTCATTTTTACACTTACATATTAGACAAATAAGATATAATCTGTTATCTAATGAGCTTTAAATGTGCTGGTAGTCAGATTATGTTACCTGGAATAAAGCCAGAGCCAAGCTAGTAGTAAAGTGGAACATTTTATTTTGTTATCAGCTAAGGTAACTAGCTTCTGGTTCACATTTACTGTACAAGAATGCAAAGTATTATCAGTCTTCTCATTTATTTTGATGCATTCTTTTAAAGGCTCTGCCTACAGTTTTCAAGCTGTTCAAGTGGACTATTAGGATTAGATTTGCTGTCCAAACTTTAGCAGGACAAACATTTCGCCTCACTGCCGACTGCATTGTCAGGGCTGATAACAGTTCATTTGCAAAGATGTTGAGTCCAACCTTACTTGATGAGCTTTAAATAAGTTCTGCATGCATTAAGATGTGTATGGAGTTTTTATTTGTAATATACTCCTGTGAATACCCAGCGGATAAACATGTTGAGGATCTTTGTGTGAAATCTAGAAAGCTGTGTTTTGCCAGCACTTCTTATTTCATCACCCTGGGAGTGTTTGTTCCCTTCCTCCCACACTTTACACTTTTCCTCCTCCATTACTCGCTGTCTTTTTCCCAGATGGATGGTATTTTCACATTCATCCATCTTGAAGCAGTAATTACGACCGTAATGCTTACTAGGGAAAATAAGCTCATAGTAATTGGTTGTGAATGGTCAGGCAGGGGCGGCAGCTATGTCATTGAGGCATCTCATGGGAAAGTTGTCATCAGCCAATTACCTGTGAGATTTTTCCATTCGCTGTTAGAGTCGTATCTACTGTTAGATCCTATTAAAGCTGTTTTGCATGTGCACCTTTTTTCATGCCCTAACAATCAATGATGGTGGCAGTGAGCTGTCACTGAATGAACTGGTTTGTCCTCTGTGTGACAGACTGGTCTTAACCCTGACTGAGTTTGTATATATTTAGTTTCTAATCTAATTAATGCATGCCAGTGTGCCATAAGTCTAATCTGAACATAGCATGTAATAGGAGATTGGTTATGATGGTTAAACCGGGCATGTTCATACTGAGATGTGCTTGATACTGTGCAGAACTGTGAGTGGTTTTGTTTGCTGTGACTTTTGTTTTAGACTTTTGACTTTTGCATGAAGAGACTGAAAATTCAACATTTCATGTTTTCAGTTTCTATCCAAATGAAAATGGCCTGAGCCATCGAGGTCTTCAGCTTCACGTTGCACTGCTTGGATTTAAAATGAAACATTTTTACATTATAAAGTCAGTCAGAGCACTTGAATCACAAATTAAGTATATAAATAAGCAAGTTAGATTTAAGTCAGGCGAATGTGGGGAAGTCAGTGACATCAGTTCCTCCATCCTCCTGAAACTTTCAGGGACTCATGCCACATGAGGTTGGGCATTGTTGTGTAACAGGAGGAACCCTGGACCCACTGTGCCAGTGTAGGGTCTGATAGTGGAACTAGAGGGCCCACTAGAGGACATCAGGCGCTCATGCCACCCTCATGAAGTCTTTTTCTGTTTCTTTGTTTTCTGTGGGAGTGCTCATCATGTTCCTCCTTGCACAAAGGATCAGATACCGGTCCTGTTGAGATGTTAAGGACCTTCTACAGCCCTGTCCAGCTCTCCTGGACTCACTGCCTGTCTCCCAGTCTTGAGACAGTGGTGGGGGAGACAACAAACCTTCAGGGAATGGCACAAATTGATGTTCAGTCCTGGAGGAGTTGGACTACCTGTGCAACCTCTGTAGGGTCCCAGGTATCACCTCATGCTGCCAGCAGTGACCCTGATACTGTCCAAATGCAAAATGTATTATTGTAGGGTCTACCTTACAATATAAAGCGCCTTGAGGCGACAGATGTTGTGATTTGGCGCTGTATAAATAAAGGTGAATTGAATTGAACTGAATCAAAACTAATGCAAAAATAATCAGAAAAGATGAGGAGGGAAAAATGTCAGCGTCCTCCACCTTTAAACCATTTGTGTTTTGGGGGTTGTCTCATTGTTGACCCTCTGGTGCCCCTGTTGTTAATGTCATTAACACCAAAGCAGCTGAAGCTGACTAAAAAAACCTCTGCTACTTTGTTATTATAAACTTATATTTGTATAAGTATTTGTATATTTGACTGCTTGACTGCTGCTGCACTAGAAATAATGCAGTTCGAATCTAACATGAAAGGTGAACTGTTTCAACACCGTTTGCCACTTTTAGGCAAGAATGTTATTGCGAAATTTAGTGGATTTCTTTAATGTTCATTTCACGTTATTATATTGTATCTATTCTTGCTCAGAACAGGTAAGGACCTCATTCCTGTTACAGACAACCAAAGAATATTTTCCCTT